TACATGGGTATTTTTAAAAACTGCACTGACCCTTTCATTCATTTATTAGCTATTCTTAGCACCTTCTCTACCAATGCCATTCCAAAACTGTCCTCCTTAAAAGGAAATCTAAACTCGTCATTTCAATCATGCATGCTAAACTCTTCAATTTAACAATGACTTCTATTTCAGAGGGAACATTAAGAAAAGCTGGACCCCACTTTCTTTCTTTCCTCCTCCAAGTATCAGACACCACCAGGCAAGAGTCGGAAGAGCAGGGTTCTGGCCTGAGCCCAGGTACCCCCACAGCAGCAGGGGCCAGCCTCACTGATCCCCAGGCTCCCTCAAACTCACAAGCCTGGTGAACCTCTTCCATAAACACACTTGGCCTTCTTCCACTCATTTCTTTGCTCTTTACACAAACATGACTGGGCCTCCTCCATTTAAAAAAATCCTTCACAGGACTTTCCTGGTGGTAGAGTGGTTAAGAATATGTCTTACAATGAAGGAGATATGGTTCTATCCCTGGTCAGGCAACTAAGATCCCACAGGCTGTGGGGCAACTATACCCAGGGGCTCTGGAGTCCAAGTTCCACAACTAGAGAATCCGTGTACCACAATGAAAGATCCTGCATGACGCAATGAGGATCCTGCGTGCTGCAACTAAGATCGACACAGCCAAATAGATAAATACAATTTTTTTAAAACTTAAAAAACATCTTTTACTTGAACTAATACCTCCTTCTGGTCAGGGAACTAGATGGTTCAATGGCAAATAATCTGCCTGCAAATGCAGGAGAAGTAGGATACTCAGGTTTGATCCTGAGTCAGAAAGATCCCCTGGAGTAGGAGATGGCAATCCACTCCGGTATTCTTGCTTGGAGAATCCCATGGACCAAGGAGACTAGTGGATTACAGTCCACGGGGCCATAAAGAGCTGGACGTGACTGAGCACACTGCGCACACACTACTCGGTGCTCTTCTCTCTTCATTTACTTCTAAATTTCACAACTGGATAGTAGCCTATGCCCACCACTCTTCATGTTTTTATCATTTCATTTCCTTTTAACCCATAAAATTGGTTTTTCATCCTCTTCCTCTTGAAGACCACTAATAAATTTCTTTTCAAAGCATTATTATGGAAAATGTCAAGCACATACAAAGTAAATACAAATGAATCCTTATGTATCCATCACCAAGCTTCAATAGCTATAAACATTCTGTCATTCTTATTTCATGCATACTTCCATCCATTCTCCATCCCTATTCAATTATTATTATTTTACAGTTTTCACAGGTAAAGTGTACCTGAAAAGTTGTACTTTTTTTTGAATTGCAAATTCTAGAAGTATAATTTTGACAAATGGATATACACCTGTGTAATCCACACTCCTCTTGGACACAGAACACCTCCACCTCTCCAGAAAATTTTGTGTACCTTTTCTTTAATTCTTCAAAAAATAAATCCAGATACATTTTCTCAATTACCAACCTCCTTGGCTTCTCAGCAGCATCTGACCGTACTGATTCTACCTTTTTTCCTGGAAATGTACCTCTTGGTTTCTAGGAAGCAGAAGTATTTCAGGTCATCCTCACATCACGTCAGCTTTACCTCCAGTATACCTCCAGGCTGTCTTCCTCCACTTCAGTGCAGTATGCTAATCCACTTTCTCTCTCACCGGAGTGACTGACTAGGACTGTCTTCTTTCTCACTGGTCTTCTTGCTCCCACCCCTGCTTCAGTCCAATCCATTCTTCATATAGAAGCCAGAGTGATTTTTAAAAAATTAAATCATAGGGACTTTCCTGGTGGTCCAGTGGCCAAGCCTGCACACTCAATGCAGAAGGCCCAGGTTCGATCCCTGGTCAGGGAACGAGAGCCCTCCTGCTGCAACCAAGACTTTACATACTGAAATTACAGAGCCCACACATTACAACTAAGACCCGGTACAGCCAAATAAATAATAAATATATATTTTTTAATGGAATCATATCACATTACTCCCGAACTTGACAGCCTTCAGTGGCTTCCCAGTTGATAGAAATTCTTCCCACATGACAGAATCCACATCCTATGCTAGGGCTGTCAGGTTCTTGCAAGGTTTTGGCCTCCCTCATGACTTCCTATCACCGCTCAGTGGCACGGGACTTCTGACAGTTCTTGGAAGAGGCTTCTGAAATGGTTTCTTTTGTCTGGTATACTGTTCTTCTAGCTCTTCACACAGTTGGCTCCCTCCGTCTTTACTGTTCAGCTGAAATGCCACACGTTCGGAGAAGACTTGCTTGACTAACCTAAGCTTGTCCTTCCAGTCACCCTATACTGCATTATTTTATGTTCTTCACAGTATTGATCACAATTCAGAATCATTATCTTTATTTATGTTTGTTTCTCCCACTAAAATGTAACTACCTTGAGAGTAAGAACCATGTCTTTTTTGTCTATTGTTGTGTATCCACTAAGAACATATGCTCAAGAATTATTTAAGAAAATGATTTAATTCAAAGTCACTGTTTTGTAGAAAAGTCCCCACTTTTTCTCAACACCACTTACCTTTCCTAACTTATTTCTATTAACAGAAAACCACAAATTATGTTACCATAGTACTATAATAAATTCCTGCATTAACATCAAATCATTACAAATATTATAAGATTTTAAACAAAGAGAAGCATAAGAAAAAAGTCATCAAATGTAATGTAAATGAAGACTGATGAAAACAAAGTTATAATTTAATTTTAATAACAGAAGCATCTACTTATTGCAAGTATATAAAGAATATTCTTTTAAAAAAATATGTTATCTATTTGTCTGTGCCAGGTCTTAGTTGTGACACACAAGATCTTTAGCTGTGGCATGCGAACTCTTAGTTGCAGCATGTGGGATCTAGTTCCCTGACCAGGGATTGAACCTCAGCCCCCTGCAATGGGAGTGTGCAGTCTTAGCCACTGGGCCACTAAGGAAGTCCCCCCCCAAAAGATTCTTTTACTCTTTAGCCTAATTGATTCTGAACTGATAAAATATTCAATAATTGAAAAATCAAGAAATGCAGTCCTCCTTCCTCCCCCAGAAAGAAGGTGGAAACTGAGTCTCTGGTACAACTAAGCATTCTATGTCGATCTAGTTATATGCTTGCCAAGCAATCTTCCAATTTCAACCTAGCTTTCCAGGAAGAGAATGTACTAGTCAGAGGATCCAAGAACCCAGTCTTCCTTAACACTGTGGTTTATTATAAACTAATTAATTAGGGTCTTGGGGATGGGTCAGTGTCTATTGTAGAAATCCTGGGGTCTGTGTATTTTTGGTGACCTGGGTGTACATGTCTTGGTGTGTGAGTGTTTGGGGGACATTCCTAGAGTGTGTGCATATCTCACTTATTCTGACTCTCCTTAAACCAGGTTTAGGATCTAGATGAAAGTGAACATGTTGGGAACTAGATGAAAGTGCTCAGTTGTATCTGACTCTTTGCAACCCCATGGACCAGGCTCCTCTGTCCATGGGCTTCTCCAGGCAAGAATACTGGAGTGGGTTGCCATTCCCTTCTCCAGGGGATCTTCCCAATGTCTCCTGCATTACAGGCAGATTCTTTTCCATCTGAGCTACCAGGGATGCCGTGATCTAGATGAGTCTGATAAAAGTCTATTGGATTCTGCTTTGGCAGGAAGAAGGAAGGTATCTGGTGATATGGGGGGAAAAACAAACAAGGGGAGAGGATGACACCTGTCCTTCTACCTAACACATGGACTGTAATGAGGGGAGACTCAGAAAGAAGCTAAAGCGCATCTTTCACGAGGAGCTCTGGGGTTCAGGGCACAAACTGATGTAGCCATTAAGTAGTCATTCCTCATTCTGCTTCCCCCAACCAGTCTCTGGCAACCACCCGCCTGTGTTCTATGTAATTATCTATTCTACATATTACATATAAATGGAATCATATGTGGCCTTTTTTTTTTTTTTCTGCTTTATGGGCTGAGTTTATTCTGATTATAAACAAATGTAGTGTATATACACATCGGTCCAAGAAATCTTGCACAATGTGCATTTTACAATGGGTATCATGCACAAGATTAAAACAAGACCAAAAAGTAGAGCTCTGAAAGAGGAAGAGGGAAAGGCTCCAAGTTGTGTCAGGCTTCTTCCAATTAGCATGATGTTTTGGAGTTTCCTGGTGACATTTGACCCCTCTTCACTTTTGCTCTGGTGAAAGAATTTGTTGTTGTTGTTCAGTTGCTCAGTGGCATCTGACCCTTTGCCACCCCATGGATGTAGAGAAAGAATAAACCTTCCCAAGAGACTATAAGCAGCAGCGGCAACAGCAAAGGACATCTCTCTGGAGGGCTCAGGGCGGACAGCCCGACAGGTGTGGGGAACTGCCCAGGACACAGTGTGGGATACCCTCGGTGCTCCCAGCAAGGATTAGAAATGATTTTGACAGGAGAAAGGGGACATGAAGGTGATACTGAGGGTTCTATATGACCAAGAAGAGGAAAAGCCAAGGAGACTCAGGACATGAAGCTAGATAGAGACAGGTATCAACACAAACATAACTACTTCTACACAGGTGACAATGAAGTATTCATTTAAGCTTTAGCCTGAAAAACCAAACCAAATATAATTTTAAAATTTATAATTAAAAATGCCCAAAAATGATCAGTGATACCTCTGTGTAGCAGGAATAAGGGATATGCTTTTTACTTTTTACCTTATACACTTCTGATTTGCTTAAATTTTTTAAATAAGGACATACAACTTGCATAATAAAACCTTAAAAGGTAAGTGCTAGTAGTCTACAAGTGAATCGTAAATTTTTCTATGAGCTCAGTAAAATTTGTTTTAAATTTGTCATGGAGTGTAACAAAAGTGGATATTGAGAAGGAAAAAATTCTCCCAATCTTAGGTGAGGTTCTAATTTAAATCAATCAGATGTCTAAATTCACCTAAAACACAATACCCACTCTCCTCACTCACGGTCCCTGTTGTTTAATTTCTGCTTAGACCGTTTGCACCTTTAGTAATTCACTGACCTTGGAACTGCTTTCTTCCGATACTTCTCCCTCATTGGTCTGCATGGGAACAGACTCTGTGCAAAACTCTGCAGAAACACACAAATACTGCCTAGAAGAGGTAAGAAGAGAGGGGGGAGAAAAAAACACATAAGGAATTCAGTGTGCATATTTGCTTTCTCAGATTACATTGAAATTCTGTCACCAAGACTAAAAATAGTGTGAAGCAATGACCTTGAGTAATGTTTGTGTGCACATGCACGTGTGTGTGTGTGTGTGTGTGTGTGTTTGTGTGTGTGCAGCATACATACACACATATCCCAGGGAGAGAGTTTTCCCCACCTTATGGGAGCATAATTAGAAAAGGCTGAAGACACTGGTGTAGTAAACAGTTCTAGATTTCTTTCCTCTTTTTATTTGACTTTTGGCAGAGGTTAAGAGTAAAAATCTTTAGCACTTCATACAGTACAAACACTGACCTGCTGGAAAAGTGGCCCACCTAAGAAAATAGGGGACCAGTTGTTATGCTGTGGCAGGGCATCTAGTCTAACTATCAGGCTAGGCTATTGCAAGTGGCTGGGTTTCTTAAGTTTATAATTTATGCTCAATATTTATGGTATTTTATAACTGAAATTCAGGTATACTCTAATGGTTGATCCTACCTTTCTATTTTAAGAAAATCTGCTTAATAAACTAAATTTCAGTTTATTTATTTTTATATGATAACAGGCCTATAGGGAAAGACAACAAAAAGTAGCAATTTTTCTTCAAAGAATAAAATGAGTCAAATAAAAGTATATTAAAATTTTATGAATTAAAAATGAACTCAAAAGAAACTACTAAAAGTTTATACAACCTTCAAATTAATTCATTAAATATGTAATTATTAAGGAATAGGAACCACAAAGAAAGCTGAATGCTGAAGAACTGATGCTTTTGAACTATGCTATTGGAGAAGACTCTTGACAGTCCCTTGGACTGCCGGAAATCAAACCAGTCAATTCTAAAGGAAATCAACCCTGAATATTCACTGGAAGGACTGATGCTGAAGCTGAAGCTCCAATACTTTGGCCAATACTTTCTGATGCAAAGAACTGACTTACTGAAAAAGACCTTGATGCTGGGAAAGACTGAAGGCAGGAGGAGAAGGGGACAAGAGGATTAGATGGTTGGACGGCATCACCAACTCGATGGACATGAGTTTGAGCAAGTCTGGGAGTTGGTGATGGACAGGGAAGCCTGGCATGCTGCAGTCCATGGTGTTTGCAAAGATTTGGACATGACTGAGTGACCGAATTGGAGTACTCAAACAGACACAAATCTCCATTATAACACAGGTACGAATATTTTTTTCAAATTCTTCAAAGGGCTCAAAGGTACAAAATATGAAAGCTAAAATGATGCTTGACAGTGTACCTTTTGGCATCAGAGAAATCTTTACAAATACAGCAGATAGGAGACATGCCAATCTAGTTCTGGCACAGGCTTCTCAATAACCATTCACAACGTTTGAGACCAAAAGGTATTTCTGAGAATCTGTTTCTTCACCTGGTGGGTGGGAAAGGATATCAAAACACTCACTGTGCTCATCTAATAAGGTCTGTTGGGAACCAGTGTGTATATATATATATATAACATAAAATGTGAAATTGGTACAGTGGAAGTCCCTTGACCACCCCCACCCCATTCACTCACTCCACATGAACCAACACTGTCCAATCCCTCTGTAAGACACACAGAAAGTTAATCCAGGCTTTCTCTAGGTGGTTTTGTACCTCATAACTATTTGTGACAGTTGTGCCAAAGCAGAATTACTCTTTCTATGAAGACTAAATTGACAGCCCTGGAAAAACTCGATAACATAACTAGAAAGATGTGGTATACAAACTGCTTCACAAATGTCTTTTAAGTTCCCATTCTACTTTACTGGAACAGAGATTGTATTTCATAGATGATACATTACAGCCACAGCAGACCAGGAAAGGCATCCCCATTATCTCTGTGCCATTTCCATTTGAACGAGCTTCCCTCTCCTGAGGTTTCATGCTTGGCTCCTCTCCATCCACATACTCCACTCCAATGGAGGGACAGGATCTTATATGAATGGAGAGATCAGAAGCAGCTATGTGAGCTCGGCCCTCCTGTCTCTTCCCTTTTGAAGCCGCCTGTCTCAGACCCATCAGTACAGGTCCCTCACGGCTACCTGTGACAGGTAAGACTGTTGAATTCTGAGCTTTACTGTTAAGACTCTGTTTCCTCCCGTAGATGTAAGCTGCATTCTCCAATACAGCTGTTTTTTTAAAAATTATTTATTTATGGCTGTGTAGGGTCTTCACTGCTGCATGGGCTTTCTCTAGTTGTAGAGAGTGGTGGCAACTCTAATTGCGGTGCAAAGGCTTCTCATCACAGTGGCTTCTTTTGCTGCAAAACACAGGCTCTAGGGCACTTGGGCTTCAGTATTTGGGGCCTGTGGGCTCAGTGGTTGTGACTCCCAGGCTTAGTTGCTCCACAGCATGTGGCATCTTGCCGGACCAGGGACTGATTCAGTGTCCCTTGCATTAAAAGGCAGATTCTTAACCACCGGGCCACCAGGGAAGCACTCGAACACAGCTTTATTAGTGTAAAGGTCATCTTCTGGTCTCCCAAATCCCCTCAGTCAAGAGAAAAATACCGCTTATTAGGTCTCTCAAAGACTTAAATCTGGGGCATAAGACTAGGTCTTGATTAACAGACAAGCAAAATTTGGGGCAAAAGATATATGTCAAACTTCTGAGGCTTCTGTTGGGGCCAGGACTTTGGGCCTTGGTTCTTTTGTGAGGTGGCAAAGTGCTCTGACCTTATGTTTACATTAGGCCACATGAGTTTTTACAGTTATATACTAGCTTTTAACTATTGAGGCCAAATTTGAAGTTTATAAAGCATAGGCCACCCTGCATTTTGACCTTGCAACTCTGTCTTCAGGTGTTTGGCTGTTTCTATAGAGACAAGGTTGCAGGCACTGGGCACAGAAGATTGAGCCAAGGCTTGGGGGCTTTGCTGGCCTCAGTGAAGCAACAAGCCACAGTTGGCAGCGGCAGTGATGGTGGAGTGCTGAAAGCTCACCTAATGTCAGCTGTGCAAGTGGCCCCAGCATACAACGGCCACTCTGGCCTAGCGAGCAAATGCCAGCCGTGCTGGCCTCAGCAAAGGCAAGAGGGCATTAGCAGGCTTGGGTGGCTCCAGAGTAGAGAAGGGTGCTGCCTGACCTTGAATTATGCAGGCACAGCTTTTCCTAAGCAGACATAGCTAAGGCAATGATTAGGCTTTAGGGAAAAGAGACGTTCTTCCTGCAGGCCTTGTAGATATCTAGTGAGTGCAACAGTTATTTGCTGTGTATAAGCTACAAGGCAGCTGAATTTCAAACAGCACAAGCACTATCAAACCAGTAAAGTTCTATGTTTAAATTCTTTTCGCTAAGTTAATACAGGCAATTCAAAGGGGGAAGGGAAATTGAGAGGTTTCTCACTAAATGTCAGTTGATGTCCTTTATTTAATTTGCCCTCATGGTGGGGGGTTGATTTTTTACTATCTTTAATTTTTTTAACGAATTTTTGAGAAAGCTTCGATGCCATTCTTATTTGAAGGGATGGCTCATACCTGTGCCTCAGGGTCTAAGTCAGTTTTCCTGCCCTTTTGATGAAAAGACAGGTGAATAAAGTAGGTGACTGATAGTCTTTACCTGGTGCATTGTGGGCCTCAGCAGAAGTTAGTGAGCAAACATGAGGAATGTCCTGCAGGCTCTGTGCTGGGTCTTCTCTAAAAGTTGACCAACATGTTAATATTTCAAAGCCCTCCAAGATCCAGACCTCACCAGTCTCTCCAGCATCATCGGCCTAGCCACAGTGGACTACTTGTGCTCAGGGCTCAGTCGTGTCTGACTCTTTGTGACCCCATGGCTGTAGCCTACCAGACTCCTCTGTCCATGGAATTTCGCAGGCAAGAATACTTGAGTGGGTTGCCATTTCCTTCTCCAACAGTGAACTACTTACAGCTTCCCAAATATGCCAGATTATTTCTGGTTTCCAGGCTTTTGTTCTATCATTCCCTCTGCCTTTCCCTTCCCTGCTCCTCATTCAAGATTCAGCTTTTATAAAGTAATTCCTGTCCCATCTCTAGGCAGAACTGATGACTCCTTTCCCAGTATCTGCAGGGGATCTTGTGAGAAACTTATTAGCGGATCTGTAACACTGCATTGGATTTATTTTCTTACACTGATGCCTCGCCTATTAGATTATCAATGCTTTAATACCAGACACTATTTTTCAATCTCTGCATTCCCAGATTACTTAAAACTGTGCACCTGGCATTTAATAAGTATCCAATAAATTCCATGGTAAGGATGACTGAATTAACCAACTAAAGTCTTTTTTACTTAAATTGCAGTTCACCGGGTCCCCATCACATGCCAGATGGTGCTGGACTAGTATAGGAGAATGAACTTTGGCTTTGAAGGAGCGGAACAATTATTCTTTGTCATTTCTTAGCTGTGTAATCTGGAGCAAGTTACTTAACATTATAATCTTCATTATTTTCATCTACAAAACTGATCAGGAGGAGGTATTACTCCTGCAAGGTGTCCAGGAGCAGCAAACAGGCCCTACAAAAATAGTTCCTTCCCAAGAAGTCTCAGAGGGCTTACAGACCAGCAAAGGAGACAGAAAAAAAATAACTCTTAATATAAAATAATGTTGTTTTATTGCTGTATCAACAACAGGTGCCCCTGGAACACAGATAAAAAAGAAATTTTGCCAGAAGAGCCTGGGATGAGGGGACAAGAAGAAAGATATAAGCAGGAAAAGTAAATAGTGGTATTCTTCTCCCCTCTTCCAAAATCTAAGCAAAGAAAAAAGCACCCATCAAGGCATCAAGTTGTGAAAAATAACTTCACATCTGGGGAACAGAACACAGTCCGGTTTACAGATAGCAGTGCTCAGCCACTCAGTCGTGGCTGACTCTCTGTGGCTCCATGGGCTGTAGCATGCCAGGCTCCTCTGCCCATGGAATTTTCCAGGCAAGAATACTGGAGTGGGGTGCCATTTTCCTACGCCAGGGGATCTTCCCGGCCCAGGGATTGAACCCAGGCATCTATTGTGTCTCCTGCATTGGCAGGTGGATTCTTTACCGCTATTGCTACCTGGGAAGTCCTTACAGATAGTGTACTGTAGTGTCAGTAGCTCTTCTTGTCCAACTATTTGCAACCCCATGGACTGCGCATGGAATTTTCCAGGCAAGAATACTGGAGTGCATTGCCATTCCCTTCTCCAGGGGATCTTCCCAACCCAGGGTCAAACCTGTGTCTCCAACATTGCAGGCAGATTCTTTACCATCTGAGCCATAGAAGCCTCTGAACCAGAGAAGCCTCTTACAGATAAGGGTTTACTAAAAAAGAAGCCAGAAATGTTGTTTGGAATTAGGTCTTGGAGGGGTTTGTAGGATGACATCTGCAATGACTGGGAGCCATAAGAGCTGTTTAGACAAAGGGGCAATGTGAGCAAATCTATGGCTAGACGCTGAGTCAGGCAGCGTGCGGACTACACACTGGAGCGGGGAGGCACTGGAGGCAGAGGAGCTAGGACACATGCATGTAACACTGTGAAACTGCTAAATCTAATAACAAGTCTAGTTCCATAAAAGGATGGGACACCAAGTGTCAGTATCAAACTAAATACAGGTATTTTTAAAGGGACCTAGTGAAGCAGAAATGCAAAGGACCAGGGGTGATGCCCACTTTAAGTTCCCTTCTGTAAGAACTCTGGAAAGAAGCATTAATATCCGAATGTACTTTTCTTTTTTTTAACATGAAGACGCTCTCATTTCATTGCCTGTATCTGGTGGATATCCATTTTTAAAACTTACCTTTGACAGTATCCTGGGGCAACACAAGCCCGTGAGGATGAGTCTAGACTACATTCAGTGCAAAAACCAAAACCCTGAAAAGAGAAGAAAATCCCAATGAGCCTCATGCTCACAGCAAGACACCTTGGTGAGCAGCAGTCATGTATAAACCCAGGCTTCTCTGCCTACCAGCTACTGACTCTTAGGCCAGTGGCCTAACGGCTCAAGCCTCAGCTTCCTCATTCAACACCGGGAACAACAACAGTGTCTTCCTCATAGGGTTCTCTCAAAGTTTAGATGAAATACTTATAAAACACTTTTAGCACAGGGCAGGGCACCAGCCACATGCTGAATAAAGGTGAGTGGATATTAAGAAAATGAACTGAAATACTTTCTGGAAAAAAACATTACAATTGATATCAAACCTTTATTATTTATTTAACCTTATTTGTTCTACCAGAAAATTACCAAACTGTTTTTTTTCCTCCATTTGACATGAGGATGTCTCATCATCACTTTAGAACTAATATATCCCAAACTGCACTCTTCATCTCCCACCCCCACCCTGTCCCACCCCAGACTCCATTCTCCAGTCTCCACTGTCTCAGTCAAGGGTGTCATCTTCCACCCAGGTTAGAACATCTGATTCATCCTGGATTTCTCACCCCACCCCAATCCTCTTACAGCCAGTCAGCAAACCCTATCATTCCTGCTTTCAAAATATGTATCTTGGATCTACCCATAATTCTTCATTTTCATTGCTATCATCATTTACTACTTGTGGAGGCCTCTTAGCTGGTTTTCTTGGGCCTACTCCCACTCCTCCCCGAGCCGGTTCTAATTAATTGCTGGAATGGCCTCTTCAGAATCAAAGCAAATGACAGCAAGCTGCTAATAAGTGCAGTGAAAATGTTATTTCATGAAGGAATGTTTTCTTTCTTTATGTATATGTGAAATATATATATATATACACACACACACACACATATGAAATGACAGCCATGTATTATTAGACATTTAAAGATCCCAGGCCAGTTCTTTCATTTTACAATGGCAGAAACAAATGCCAGAAGGATACTGTGCTCAATGTGGGGACAAATGTGGCAGAAATTTATCTGTGATTAGCATCAACACTGCTGTCAGAAAGACCATCGCTGTTTGGAAGTTGGCCATCTAGTTTCACAATCAAGTTAACATTTCTGTCCAAGAAAGCACATTCCACTTCCCATGGCTATGGATTATAAATTACAGCTTCAGTCCTACCTTAGGTCACAGCATTTGAGGTGGTGTTCTACTCAATCTCAAAGGTATCTTACTGCCCTCTTATCTACCACCATCTCTACCTTAGCTTATTTTCAGTGTCTGAATAAATAAATCTCAGATGGAATGGTACTATGATGAGTGTTGCTGCTGCTGCTGCTACTACTGCTAAGTCGCTTTAGTCGTGTCCGACTCTGTGCAATCCCATAGAGGGCAGCCCACCAGGCTCCCCTGTCCCTGGGATTCTCTAAGCAAGAATACTGGAGTGGGTTGCCATTTCCTTCTCCAATGCATGAAAGTGAGAAGTGAAAATGAAGTCGCTCAGTCGTGTCTGACTCTTGCGACCTCATGGACTGTAGCCCACCAGGCTCCTCTGTCCATGGGATTTCCCAGGCAAGGATACTGGAATGGGTTGCCATTTCCTCCTCTAGAGGATCTTCCTGACCCAGGGATCGAACCTGTATCTCCTGCATTGCAACAGATTCCTTATCTCTAACCTACCTGGGAAGTCCTATATGATGAGTATCAGTAACATTTTAATTATCAGCTTTACCCTCCTATTATACATACTGTTATCCCAACAATCTTCCTTTCTAAAAAGCCAATTTGACCTTTGGGTACATCACTGGCAAAATCTAGTCAGTAACTACCCATTATTGTTAGGGTAAAATTCAAAATCCCTCCAGTCCTGTCATCACTTCACATCCTGGTCACATGGCTGGCACAGGGCTGCCCTGCTCACGATAACGTGCACCTACGTCTCTGGGAGCCGGTTGCCTCATTCCCTTCTACTCCTCTTTTAAGACCTGCCTCAGGGTTAGCTCCTCACAGTTTTCTGTACCCTTCCTGGATGCAGTGTCCCTCCTCTGAGAAATACCATGTAATACTGGTAACATCCATGGATCTCTTTTCTTCATGCAACAGAACTCCTTGACAACAAGGACTACCTACGTCTTACATTACCTTTGAACTTGGTATCAGATGGAGCTCAATAAACACAGACTGAACTGAATGTTGATGTGATCCCAATAACTCAGTACCGCAGTGTGGATGCATCCCCATTAAATGGCACTGGGGAAGGCTGAAGAAGCCAGCCACAGCCTCCAAGATGAGCCTGGCCCTCACAGAGGATGTAAACTCTGTGGTTATGTGTGACGCTCAGCACCTCAGAGAAAGATGGGATTCTTGAACTTTTTCTCAACCACAGACTAGCAAGATAGAAGACTTAATTTTCAGTTCTCTATTGTGATTAGTTTCTGCCCAGGCTTAAACATCCTTCTCAGGGTAAACACTAAATTCTGCACCACATCATACAGGGGCCCATTATTACATATCTTGCTAACAGACAAGCTTAAGACACAGTGGCCAGATCGGTCCTTCGCCTGTTTGGCAGTTGGTCCCAGACACTTGCTGGCGGTCAGTGACGGAAAAGGAGTTAAAGCAGGAGTTGCCAGCGGGGGAAACTGGGCAGTTTTCCAAGTACTCTGGAAATGAATTTTTACAGAACAGCTTCATTACTTTCTCTGCAGGGCCGTGAACCTCTGTAGCAGATGCATTCCTATTCAAGGTAAACAGAAAATTTAACTCTAAAATCAACACTGAAAATTATCTAACTGAAGTTATCTACAGCACTGTTTTCCTCCTAAGGCATGAGTAATGGCAAATTCCTCCCAAACACCATCTGAAATGTTCAGAACCACCCTATAATCCTTCCGTCTGACCACACGTAGCCATGGCAGGGAACTACCTGGACTGCTCTAGTTTTCTCTATTCTCTCGCAGAGTCACCAAATTGGTCTTGAAAATTCACACAGTGGGGTGGGAAGGTTCAGTGGATCTTGGACTACATCAATTTCCAGGCCCTGCAAAACTTCAAGTAGGCTTAAAGAGTTTCTCCACAGCCAAGTACAGAACTAAACTCACCAGATGGAATTAGAACTGAATCCTTTACAAGGAATATGAAAAGAAGTACATATCCAATAAACTATATTTACTAATAATGCCTCTGATATGATGGAGTTTTAATTTTCAAACTTGATTGTTCGGCATGATTCTTCTAAATATAATTTAAATTCTCATTTCAAAAACTTCAAGCAATATACATAAAGTCCTTGACCACTGCCCTCTCTCCCTGCCCTGGTCCTCCCAGGACTCACCACTACTGGTATGTTTGATAACCAGCATAATTCTCAAGATTGCAGATTATTAAGAATACACTGTAAACTTTTGAGTCACAAATAACACTGAAAACCCGGACTGTCTACATTGTTGGCGACTGGCCTAATTTCAAACAAGATGTCTGGAAGAGCAGCAGATGTGGGGGTGGAGCAAAACACCAGCAATGAGGCCAGGGAGGTTTTCCTGGGAAGCGAGCACAGACCAGGAGACTAGGGGCAGACAGGAGGGTACTACGAATCCAGCTCTATATGCGGGGGACACAGCCCAAGAGGGCAAAAAGAAACCTATTGAATTAAGTAACACCAATAATAAAGTCAGAGCCTAAGGGGCGCAGATAAAGGCAGTACTACTACAGGAAGATGGGTTTATTTAGCTACCAACACCCAGATCTAGAAGTGCTACTTGCAGTTTTAGGTCACTTCTATTTCAGTTCAACACTTTGGAAATTCTGTAAAAATGTTCAAGTCTGCCCATTCCTAAAATCACCCCCTTTAACCCTAAAATCTCCTCCAGACGGTGTGCCCTTCCTCTCCTCTAGTCAAGCTCCATTTCCAGGGCATCTTCCCCACCGAGGGATCAAACCTGGGTCTCCTGCATTGCAGGCAGATTATGTCCTGTCTGAGCCATTAGGGAACATCCCTTAAAATACATATATATACTTGGCTGCACCAGGTCTTAGTTGTGGCATGTAAGATCTTTAGTCATGACGTGTAAGATCTTTAGTCATGACATGTGGGATCTAGTTTTCTGACCAGGGACCAAACCCAGGACCCCTGCTTTGGGAGCCCAGAGTCTTAGCCACTGGACCACCAGGGAAGTCCCAAGCTCTTTAAAAAGAAGTTTTATTTGTGGTCTCAGTGTCCTAATCTCTCATGGACTTAATCATCAACATTTGGTTTCTTTCCCTATCACTCCCTGTTGTCAAATACAATGGCTATCATTGAATTATTTGCTGTAACCTTTCTCTGGCTTCTAAAAATTAGAAGGATCTGAAACACCTGTCATTTGGAAGCCCCTTTTCCATCTAGATGTTAAGGACGTGAGATCCCATCACTAGGCCAGGGGCACTTTGCTTTAGTTCCTGGTCCTTGGCTGTGTCTGGGTCTCCCTGTCTCCCTAGGCTTGCAGCTAGTCCAAGGCCCTTGTCAATATTGTTGATTTTCAGATTCCCATCATGGGCAGGGGGTTGCTGGGTGAGGAGCAGCTGCTTGTGCATGGAGGATTGGGGAACAAAGGTCATGGTGAAGAAATTCAACTCAACTCCTGGCTTTAAGGATTTGAGCATCGTTCTGATGCTCAAACTGACATGGAACATATTTAGTCCCTTTATCCCACAGAAGGGGTTTCCCTGGTGGCTCAGACAGTAAAGAATCTGCCTGCAATGCAGCAGACCCAGGTTCAATCCCTGGGTCGGGAAGATCTCCTGGTGAAGGGCATGGCAACCCACTCCAGTATTCTTGCTTGGAGAATCCCATGGACAAAGGAGTCTGGCAGGCTACAGTCCATGGGATGGCAAAGACACAACTGAGCGACTGAACAACAACATATCTCAATGACTCCCAAATCTCTCTCTAGGGTTGACCTTTCTTACAATCTTCAAAGCCATCTATATAACTTCCTAATGTCAACAGACTTCTCTACCTCACGTTCCACAGGTC